ATCACAGATGAACGAATACACCAGGACAGGACGGGGAGGGATTCGTTTTTGTAATGAGGAAGGAGATAAAAACGCCACTAAAAATATGAACGTTTCATAGAATCCATATTGTGGGCAGCAAAGTGGCTGGTTAGCACTTCCATCTATCAGCACTAGGGATGAGGTTCAAATCCCAACCATGGCATGTGTGCGTTTCCTCCGGGTACTCCGGTTTCCTCCCACACTCCAAAGACATGCTGGGAGGTGAATTGGTCCCGGTATGTGTATGTATGAATGTGAGTTAGGGACCTCAGATTGTATGCCCCTTGAGGGAAGGGACTGATGTGAATGTAATACAATAATTTCCAAAAAGTATTTGGCCCAATCATGTGATCAGTGGCAGACTGACAACTCATGGGCGCTAGGGGATCATGGGGCCCCTGTGTCCTTGCCCACACCTCGAAAAAAGCCTATAAAAAATGTACCCCAGGGGCATTTCATGGGGCCACCCTACTGACCTCGGGCAGTGCCGGAGAGCTCAATTGGTCAGTCCGCCCTGCATGTGATTCAGGTGGTTCCAATCCCCTCCATATCATGTGATTAAGGTGTTCCAATCCCCTCCATGGACACAGGTGTATACAATCAAGCCCCTAGGCTTTGGTAGACCCAGATGTAAACCCCTTCCCAGCCCAGCGCCATTAGTACAGCGTCAGGGCTTTTTTTTAGCACTGATACTGTATTGGTGTCACCGGGGATGTCAGTGACACCAGGTCAGTTTCCCCCCCGCAGTACCGCTGTAAGTCGTTGATCACCGCCATTACTAGGACAAAAAAAAATTCCGGGGCTATACCGGCATTTGCAGACGCTATAAACTTTCACGTTTAAACCAATTAATTTACACGTATTGGGATTGTTTTCAGCAAAGACACGCAGAATACATACAAACAGTGACACAAAAAACAACCAAGTCAGTTCCCCCCCCAGTGTCAGAATGCCTGCCGCAGTCCCGTTATATAAGTCTTTTTTCATCGCCACCATTACTAGGAAAAAAAATTAAAAAATTCTGGTGTATATATACCGCCATGTGTAAACACTATAACTTTCACATAAAACAATTAATTTACACGTATTGGGATTGTTTTTCAGCAAAGACACGGAGCAGAATACATTTTGGCCTAAATTTGATTTTTAACATTTTTTTTGGACATGTTTAATAGCAAAAAGTCCAAAAAATATTGGTTTGTTTTTTTCTCAAAAATTGTCTGTTTCTTATTTATAGCGCGCAAAAAATTAAAAACCGCACAGGCGGTCAGACGGATACCACCGAAGCTCAATTCGTGGAAAAAAAAAAAGGACGTAAATGTCATTGGTGCTGGCGTTTGCATGACCGCGCAATTGTTGGTTAAAGTGACGCACCGCCGTAAACCCAAAAAGATGTGTCCATGGGGAGGAGGGGGATCCTCTGGAGCTGAGAGGCGGGAACACATGAGAGAACAGCTGCAGGGAACTGTGAGGTGACAGGACAGTCAATCACAGGCGAGGAGCTGAGAGGCGGGCACATATGAGCATATGAGGGAAACTGCTGGTGAGGTGAATGGCAGGACTGTTCAAACCACCAATCATATGAGAGGAGAGGCGGGAACTGCTGTGAACTGTGAGGGGAGTTGCAGGACTGCTCAATCAATCACAGAAGAGGAGCAGATAGGTGAGAACACTTGAGGGAACTGCTGGGAACCGTGAGGGGGGAGGGACATGATGGCTCAGCCAATCACAGGAGAGAAGTTGCGAATAGGGCACACATGCACTGAACTACTGGGAATTGAGTTGAGTGACAGCACTGTTCAGCCAATCACAGGAGAGGCGGGAACTGCTGGGAACCCGTGAGGAGAGGGACAAGGACTGCTCCGCTAATCACAGGACGGGAGCTGAGAAGAGGGAACACATGTTTGGAACTGTGAGGTGAGCGACAGCACTGCTCAGCCAATCAGAGGAGAGGAACTGAGAGGTACATAAGAGAAACTACTGTGAGGAGAGTGACATGACGACTGAGCCAATCACAGAAGAGGAGCTGAGACGAAGGAATACTTGAGGGAATTGCTGTGAACTGTGAGGGGGTTGCAGGACTGTTCAACCAATGACAGGAGAGGAGCTGAGATGCGGGAACACTTAAAGGAACAGCTGTGAGGTGAGTGACAGAACTGCTCAGAATCCAATTACCAACAGAGCAGTTGGAGGGGGAACATTTGAGGTTATATAACTATAAGAGGGTGATGGAGAGTATCTGGGAGGTGGGAACACAGCTGTGAGGGTACAAGCTCTCAGCCAATTACAGGAGAATAGGTGTGAGGCAGGGCAGCTCCAAAGGGAGTGACAGGTCTCCTCAGCCAATCATAGGAGAGAATCTTGGGAGGCGGGAACACCTGAGGTAACTGCTGTGAGGTGAGTGACAAGCTCTCCCAGCCAATTACCGGAGAGTAGATGGGAGTTGTGATGGCTGTGAGGTGAGTTACAGGTTTCCTCAGCCATTTGCAGGAGAGGAACTAGGAGACTGGTACACCCTGTGAGGTAAAATGACACACTCCTTTCAGCCAATCACAGGAGAGCATTTGGGAGGTGGGAACACCTGAGGTAACAGGTGACAATCTCTCTCAGCCAATCACAGGAGAGTATTTTTGGGAGGCTTAGAGGGGGAAACATCTGAGGTAACAGGTGAGAAGCTCTCTCAGCTAATTACTGGATGCGGGGCAGCTCTGAAGAAATGGTGAGTCTTCACTCAGCCAATCACAGGAGAAGAAAATGGAAAGTGCAAAACGCCTGTGAGATGATTGAGATCATATCCCCCCTTATGTATTATACATGGAGATCACATCCCCCCCTTATGTATTATACATGGAATCACATCCCCCCCTTATGTATTTATACATGGAGATCATATCCCCCCTTATGTATTATACATGGAGATCATATCCCCCCTTATATATTATACATGGAGATCACATCCCCCCTTATGTATTATACATGGAGATCATATCCCCCCTTATGTATTAATACATGTGATCATATCCCCCCTTATGTATTATACATGGAGATCATATCCCCCCTTATGTATTATACATGGAGATCATATCCCCCCTTATGTAATTATACATGGAGATCATATCCCCCCTTATGTATTATACATGGAGATCATATCCCCCCTTATGTATTATACATGGAGATCATATCCCCCCTTAGTATTATACAATGGTGATCATATCCCCCTTATGTATTATACATGGTGATCATATCCCCCCTTATGTATTATACATGGAGATCATATCCCCCCCTTATGTATTATACATGGTGATCATATCCCCCCTTATGTATATATACATGGAGATCACATCCCCCCTTATGTATTATACATGGAGATCACATCCCCCCTTATGTATTATACATGGAGATCACATCCCCCCTTGTGTATTATACATGGAGATCACATCCCCCCTTATGTATTATACATGGAGATCACATCCCCCCTTATGTATTATACATGGAGATCACATCCCCCCCTTATGTATTATACATGGAGATCACATCCCCCCTTATGTATTATACATGGAGATCACATCCCCCCTTATGTATTATACATGGAGATCACATCCCCCCTTATGGTATTATACATGGAGATCACATCCCCCCTTATGTATTTATACATGGAGATCACATCCCCCCTTATGTATTATACATGGAGAATCACATCCCCCCTTATGTATTATACATGGAGATCACATCCCCCCCTTATGTATTATACATGGTGATCATATCCCCCCCCTTATCGCTGTATTATACATGGTGATCATATCCCCCCCCTTATGTATTATACATGGAGATCATATCCCCCTTTATGTATTATACATGGAGATCATATACACGTCCCCCCTTATGTATTATACATGGAGATCATATCCCCCCTTATGTATTATACATGGAGATCATATCCCCCCTTATGTATTATACATGGAGATCATATCCCCCCTTAATCTCCTCTTCGCAAGAGAAGAATACATTCAGTTCCTCTAATCTTTCCTCATAGCTGAGCTCCTCCATGCCACTTATCAGTTTATTTGCCCTTCTCTGTAACTTTCTCCAGTTCCCCAATGTTCTTTTGTGAATTGGAGCCCAAAACTGAACTGCATATTCCAGATGAGGTTTTACTAATGATTTTTTCCGGGGGGGTGGGGGGGGGAGTGATATCTCTCTCTGGAGTCTATACCGCTCCTAATACAAGAGAGAATTTTGCTCACTTTAGAACCTGGAGCTTGGCATTGCTACCATTATTAAGCTTGTGATCTACCAGAACCCCCAGATCCTTCACCATTGATTCCCCCAGTTGTACCCCCCCTAGTATGTATGATGCATGCATATTCTTAGCCCCCCAGTGCAGAACCTTACATTTATCAACATTAAACCTCATTGGCCACATAGTTGCCCAATTACACAAAGCATTGAGGTCGGCTTGTAAGTTGGAGACATCCTGTAAGGACTGTTATTCCCCGGCACAGCTTGGTGTCATCTGCAAAGACGGAAATCCCCAACCCCATATCATTTATAAATATATTAAAAAGTAAGGGTCCCAACACTGAACCCTGGGGTACACCACTAATATCACTGAACCTTGGGTACCCCACTAATAACACTGAACCTTGGGGTACACCACTAATATCACTGAACCTTGGGGTACACCACTAATATCACACTTAACCTTGGGTATCCCACTTAATATCACTGAACCCTGGAGTACCCCACTAATATCACTGAACCCTGGGTGTACCCTACTAATATCACTGAACCCTGGGTACCCCACTAATATCACTGAACCCTGGGGTACCCCACTAATATCACACTGATCACTTGGGGTACCCCACTAATAACACTGAACCTTGGGGTACCCCACTAATAACACTGAACCTTGGGGTACACCAATGATGACCCCAGAACCATTCAGAGTATGAATCATTAACCACTACTCTCTGAATACCATCTTTTAGTCAGTTTTCTATCCATTTACATACAGATTTTTCCAGCCCGTAGACTTTACCTTACACATTATCACTGAGCCGTGTGTGGGAAAACTGTGTCAAACGCTTTTGCAAAATTCAAGTATACCACTGCACGCCACCCCTCTGTCCAAGTATACCACGCCCACCGCCACCCCCTCTATGTCCAAGTGTACCGTGTCCACTGCTACCCCTCTGTTCAAGTATAAACCACGCCCACCGCCACCTCTCTGTCCAAGTATGCCCAGTCCACCGCCACGCCACCCTCTGTACAAGTATGCCACGTTCACTGCCACCCCCTCTGTCCAAGTATGCCACGTTCACTGCCACCCCTCTGTCCAGGTATGCCACGTCCTTCACCACCCCTCTGTCCAAGTATACCACGTCCACACAGCCACCCCTCTGTCCAAGTATACCACGTCCACAGCCACCCCTCTGGCCAAGTATACTACGTCCACCCGCAACTCCTCTGTCTAAGGTTTTGCTCAGCTCCTCACAAAAAGAAATTGGATTTGTTTGACAACTTCTGTCTTTCATGAATCCATGCTTCTGTTGCTTAAAATGTTTTTTTCCAGCAAGAATATCTCAACTGGTAATTGCGCGGTCGTGCAATGCTGTAACCAAAACAAAATTTACGTCCTTTTTTTCACACAAATAGAACTTTCTTTTGGTGGTGTTTGATCACCTCTGTGGTTTTCAATTTTTGCACTATAAAAACAAAAAAGACCACAAATTTTGAAAAAAACAATATTTTTTACTTTTGGTTATAAGAAAATACCAACAAACTCAAAGTTAGTCATAAATTTAGGCTAAAATGCATTCTGCTCCATATCTCTGGTAACAATAAATCTCAATACGGGTATATTAATTGGTTTGTGTGAAAGGTATAACATCTACACACTGTGATATATATATTGGAATTTACACAGCTATTTTACTTTCTGACTGCCTATCACATTCTTGAGGTGCTAAAATGCCACTCTCAGTACAAAACCCCCCCCCCCCCCCAATGACCCCTTCTTTGAAAGTAGACACCCCAAGGATTTTGCAGAGAGGCGTGTTGCATCCATGGAACCCTTTATTTTTTGCCACAAGTTTTTTGAATATGACAATGTTTTTTTCTTACACATAGTTGTCACTTTAAATGGTATATTGCTCATGCATGCCAGGGGTAGATGTGGAATTACACCCCAAAACACATTCTCCTACTTCTCCCGTGTATGGGGGCACCACATGTGAGAGACTTCTTGGCAGCCTAGCTACATACAAGCCCACAAAATCCAATGGCCCCCTCCAGGCTTTCAAAGGGCATATTTCCTCATATCACTTCCCCCACTACCTATCAGAGATTCGGAGGCTCTAAAATGCCAGAATAGTACAACCCCCCCAAATGACCTCTTTTTGGAAAGTAGACACCGCAAGGAATTTGATAAGAGGCAGGGTGAGTATTTTACAGATAACATTTTTGTCACAGGGTTTTGAAAAACGAAAATAAAAAATAAATTTTTTGTTTTCTTTCTTCATTTTCCAAAAACGTGGCAACAAAAGAGATCTGCAATATACTCACCATGCCTCTTAGTAAATACCTTGGGGTATCCATTCTCAAAAAAAGGGGTCCTTTGGAAGGGGGGGGAGGGGTTGCTTCTACTATCTGGGCATTTCAGGGCCAACATTAGAAACTTATGCCACACGTCACACACAATCTTGAAGACCAAGCCTTTTCTGACACTTTTTTGTTCACATGAAAATAAAAACAGTTTTTTTTTGCTACAAAATGACTTTGAAACCCCCAAACATTATTATATATTTTTTAAAGCAGAGGCCCTAGAGAATAAAATGGTGGGTGTTGAAATTTTTTACGTCACACAGTATTTGCGCAACGATTTTTCAAAACGCAAATCTTTTGGGAATAATACACTTTTTAGCATTTTAATGCACAAAAACACAATAGATTGCCCAATTGTTTGATACAATATAAAAGAGATGATGTGACGCTGAGTAAATAGATACACAACATGACGTGCTTTAAAATTGCGCATGCCCGAGCAATCGCAACAAAGTACATACATTTTTATTATTGATAGGCGACGCTTTAAAAGCCTTTACAGGTCACCAATTTATATTTACACAGAAGTTCTGGTGGTGGAGGAGTGCTGTGGATGTTCTGAAGTCTGTTACCAGCGTATAGAGGTATCAAGATCACACAGACGGCCAACTTACTGCAGGAGAGTGCTGCAACACCCAATGTGCTATTTGACCTACCATTCAAGATGGTCATGGTAAATGATGTGGCGAGTGGGGTAAATTATGGTGGTAAATTATTGTGATGAGTGGGGCTCTGGAGGGGGAGCACTTCACACAGAGGATTGCTATGGATAAGAAGATTAACTATTGTATCACCGGGTATTCACATTGGATGCAGATGGGGATTTTGTTTTCCACATTGGTATTTTTTATATGTTTGCACATGATTGGGACTTTATACACATTGTCTTTTGCATACAAGTTCCCTGTACATATAGTTTGTTGGTATTTTTTACTATTTATTATTTATTTTATAGCACAATTGTTGTTTGAGCACACTGAGTATATATATTGGTTCCTTATTTTTGTATATTTGCATAGGGCATTGTAGTATATACACATTTGTGGGGACCCTATATGTAGTAGGGTAGTTTTTGTTTATTTATTATTTACTGTACTAATGGCTCTGGGCAGGAAGGGGTTAACATCTGGGGGCACTCAAAGGGTTAGCTGTGTGTGTTTTACTATGGGGCTGTGTATGTGCTTTCTATTGTAAGCACTCTGCTTTGTATGACTCTGCTATGCAGAGCCATCCAAAGCAGTGTGGTGGAGCCGACAGTGGGACAGATCTGTATTGTTTACATACAGTTCTCTCCCCCTGTCGTTGTTACTCTGCGATCACTGGGTGTTGGCGAGTAATCACTGCCTGGGACCTGGTGATTGACAGCCGAGGCCACGCACCCCCTACCTGGAAATGCAAAATAACGCATATATACACATAATTTTGCGCACCCCTGCCACCCTGTAGCAGTATTTTAGTTTTTTAGTCATATTTTAGTCATCTGCCTCAGTGTGTGGATTATAAGAATCACCTCTTTTTATCAACTCTCCTCTCCCTCCCTCTCTCTCCTCTCATTGACAATAGAGGTAAATATCACACTAAGACTCCCCTAGGGGCAGGATCCCGATGTAAGGATGCCCTATAAAACACACTATCTTGTCTGTGGTGAAGACCGCACTGGACTGACTGGATCAGTCATTGGTTGTAGGTGGGTAGTTGTGTGGGTGGGTAGGGTGATGTCTCTCCAGTCGGTTGTGCCCAATGGTGAATACTGGTGGTGAACCCTTTTAGGGTTTGGGCTTCTGCCTTTCTGGTACAGCCTTAAGGTCGTTTCCACAGAAGAATGCACTTTTGATGGTAGATTAAGAGGCATTTATTGAGATTATCAACAAGTACATCAAACCAATGCGTTTCGGGAGAAAAGACTCTTCCTTCTTCAGGGTTGTTGCTACACACTATTAAATGGAAAAGATGACCCCACCGGTTATACATTTTCCAGGTTTTGGAAGAAAATTGACAGAGTGACGGCTGTTATCGCTGCCCCTGGAACGACAGCTGCCACTCTCCATTTTCTTCCAAAACGCTGGACAGGCATTGCATAGGGCAGCCTTATGCTGGGGTGTGTGGTGTCCTGTCAGTGCACCACAGGACACCAGCAGACACCTCAGCAAAAAGGCAGAAAAGGCATCTCTATGGAGGACGCTTAGACACGTGCCTACTCTGCCTAAATCCGACCCTGCACATAGGTTTAGGAAGTCCTGTCAATAGCAGTAAATACTATTCACTGCTGTTGTGTCAGGGACGGCGCACAGATGTGCACCGCCTCAGGACTCCGGTCGGCTCCTTTCCACGGCCGGTTAGCGGGTGCGCGGTTGCATGCTTGGCAGCATTTTGGCGCCGTGCCGGCTATTTAAACTTCGATGAGACTCTGCCACATTGCCGTTTGGTCTCTATTCTGTGCTCCAGTATACTCTGCTATTTGTTTTGCATTGCTGATCCTGACCTGTCACTTGACCTTGCTAGAACGCTGCCTGCCTTGATCTCTAACTGACCACCAACTATTCTTCTGCCTGCCAATTTTGCCTGACCTTGCCCACTTGTTGCTGGACTGGACCGCCTAACTTTGCCTACTCTGATCCTGCCTCCTACCAGCTACCATGCAAGTATCCTGCACCTCTGCCAGTGTGCCTTCCTCCAGCCGCTCCTGCATTTCCAGACGCACATCCGTCCCCGGATTCCTACCAGGCACTCGTGATCCGGTGCTCCCTGTCGCCTTACCAGGGCCCCGAGTCAGAGCCGCAAGGGAGGCCCTCCTCAACATTTCAGGTTCCACCATCAGGTACATGACAGTACCAAATGGCCATGTCGGAACCTGAAAGAGGGTGCACCCCGCTGGAGGAAATCTGCCAATATATTGCTGCACTGGCCCAAACTATCAAAAGTCTTCAGGAAGGTTATACACAGCTCGAAAGTCGCTTACAGGCTCTGCTAGCACCCACGAACCCAAATACTGCATCCTCCGCCAGTACTACCTCAGCTCCTTCTACTTCCCAGGCCACTGCTCCAGCCACTTCCACCATTATGATGCTTGCGCCAAACCAAGAGTGCCCACACCGGAGAGATTCTGCAGGGATCGGACTAAGTTTTGTGCGTTCTGCAATGCATGTCAGCTATTTTTTGCATTACAACCCCGCACATTTTCATTAGAGGCCACCAAGGTGGGATTCGTCATCTCCTTGCTACAAGGAGAACCCAGACCTGGGCTCATCTCCTGGAAAAAGAAGATGCCCGATTGTCCACTCTTAAGGTTTTTTTTTTTATACCATGGCACAACTCTATGATGACCCTCAACGTTCAGCCTCGGCAGAGGTGGCCCTTCACAAACTCCAGCAAGGCCGCAGGGCTGTTGAGGAATATGTGACTGAATTCAGACGCTGGAGTGCTGACACAGACTGGACCGATGCAGCCCTGTGTTATCAATTTTGCATGGGACTCTCGGAACCCCTAAATGATGAATTAGCCAGAGTGGGGGTACCCAGTTCATTAGAAGGACTGATCGATCCCTCCGTCCCGTGGCTTTCAGCTGCTTCATTGAAAGCCATACAGAAGATCTCTGCTTGTCACCACAACCACTGCCGCCCCTCCCACACACACCTAGCCCCAGCGCTGCTCGCCGCCTCCATCACTGCACAGCACAGTTTTATTTCTGCTCCCCCCCCCCCTTCCACCACCACTGTGTGCCCGCCGCTGTGTTCTTCTCACTATCCAACCCAAATTTCGAGGGCCTGCAGCCAGGGATGGTTGTCAACTCTTCTCTGGGGGGGTTCAGACCCCCTTATCTACGCCCCTGGTGTCAATGGCTCATGGAAAGACATCTTCAGAGCTGCGGTTTGGTCCAATAATCATACATTTCTCAAACACTACCGCGTGGAGCGTCTTTCTAGCCAGGATTTGGCGGTGGTCCCTCCGTAAGGTAGTAGTATTACTTGTTTATCCTCTCCATGTTAGCTGTCCTGGAAGACCCTTTGGGAAAACCACAGTTATTCTTACCATTAACCGTCTTTCCAGGAGTCTTCCAGAACAGCGTCCTTTTTTCCCACGCGGCTTTGAGTATTTCATTTTTGATGGAATTTATGTTTGCATGTTTTATCTCCCCTTGTGCACACTGGTGGCGGTCTTCTTTGCCTAACAACTAAGGACAAGGGGGAGGGAGGGGCTTTTTAAACCATCTCTGTATTGTGTTTCCTGTAGAGGGCGGAGCCAGTATTTCTCCATTTTAGCCGTCCTGGAAAGACCATTAACGGTAGCCCTAACTATGGTTTTTTGCTATTTGGCACTGCGCTACTTTAACTGGTAATGGCGCGGTCATGCAATCACTGTACACAAACAAAATTTATATAATTTTCTTCACACTAATAGAGCTTTCTTTTGGTGGTGTTTGATCACCACTGTTTTTTTTTTATTTTTTTTGCGGTATAAACAAACAAACAAAAAAAAGACCACAACTGTACAAAAAAAAAAAAACTTTTTACTTTCTGCTACAAAACATCCAAATAAAAAAAATAACAAAAACCAAATTTCTTCAGCATTTTGCAAAATGTATCCTGCTACATGTCTTTGATAGAAAAAAAAATCCCAATAAGTGTATATTGATTGGTTTGAGTGAAAGTTATAGCATCTACAAACTATGGTGTATATATACTGGAATTATTTATTTATTTTAATACTACTCATGGCGGTGATTTACAACTTATAATGGGACTGCGATAGTGCAGTGGGCAAGCTGACACTAACTGACGCTGGGGAGGAACTGGCTAACTGCCACTGACATCACCAGTGACAGTGCAGTGTCAATATATAGTATTATCACTGTTCACTGTAATAATGTCACTGGTGATGTCATTGGCAGTTAGCTACTTCCTCCCCCAGTGTCAGTTAGGGGTTTATTTACTAAAGCTGGAGACTCCCTTCTGCATAGAAACCAATCAGCTTCTAACCTCAGCTTGTTCAATGAAGCTTTGGCAATGAAACCTGGAAGCTGATTGGTTTCTATGCAGAAGGGAGTCCGATTTTGGACTCTCCAGCTTTAGTAAATAAACTCCTTAATGTCAGATTGCCCACCACAATATCACAGTCCTATTATAAGCTGTATAATGGGAAGGGGTTAACATCTAGGGCGATCAAGGGGTTAAATGTGTGCCTAACAATGTGTACTGCTTTTACTATATGATCTCTAAGTTTCTCATCCCTGCTTTGCAGGGATGAGAAACCACAGAGCTTGCTCCCTGTGTATAGAGCTCTGGGCTGTGATTGGACACAGCCGATCAGCATGTCTGGGCCATGAATAATTGGCTGTGACTTGCTGACAGGCTCCCGCTGTGTACAATCACAAAGTAGGAAGAAAGTAGGCAGTGATGTGCGGGTACATTGTGGGCAGGCGGGCCCCAAGTGGTTAATGCAGGGAATACATAAAGGGAATAAATGTTTTGGCTTTAGAACCACTTTAATTATTGTAAAATTCACATTATAAATATATGTATCCTAGAAAAAAAAATTGTCCAAGCACCAGTAGCTTTACTACTATCAAAACACAACAGAGAGTAGCTATATTAAGATTGTCCACTTATTTCCCATCAAAGGGTTTGTTCTGACTCCTGATTGGCTAATGCTGGTACTAACCAAACAGAATTCATTATGGCAAAGACAAAACCTCTTCCAGAAAAACAAGGGACCATAACGATAGGTGACACTCTGCTCCTCACTGCTGATAATCAGCAATACCAATAAGCCATCTTTGTTTGACTCACTGGGGGGGGGGGGGATTTACTAAAACTGGTGAACACAAAATCTGGTGCAGCTGTACATGGTAACCAATCTGCTTCTAACGTCAGCTTGTTCAATTAAGCATTGACAATAAGCTGTACCAGATTCTGTGGGCACCAGTTTTAGTAAATCTCTACCAGTGAGTGCAGTGCTGGTGGTGGGGGAGGTTGCTAGGCCATGGAACCTGTCCCAGATACCCACAATGTCAGTGTATGGAGGTGAGACCTTATGAGCCGTACAATGTATATACCACAGATCCATGTTGTCTCTTCACCATTTGCCCGTTATTAACTGTGTAAAATGAATGGGATTAAGTTAGAAACAATCAAACAGCTGTCATGTTATGGGGAAAATGTTCATGCTTGAATGACGTGTACCTTTAACCCCTTCAATCTCTTAAGTACTGAAGACTTAACAATATTAAAAGTCCTCCCTATCTAGTCCTGTCCTGGTGTATTAGTACATCTACACTATATTGCCAAACGTATTTGACTTGCCCTTCCAATCATGTGATTCAGGTGTTCCAATCCCCTCCATGGACACAGGTGTATACAATCAAGCTCCTAGGCATGCAGACTGCTTCTACAAACATTGGTGAAAGAATGGGTCGTTCTCAGGAGCTCAGTGACTCCAAGCGTGGTCCCGTGATAGGTTGCCACCTGTGCAATAAGTCCATCCGTGACATTTCCTGGCTACTAAATATTCCACGCTCAACTGTTAGTGGGATTATAACAAAGTGGAAGCAACTGGGAACAACAGCCACTCAGCCACCAAGTGGTAGGCACGTCACATGACAGAGCGGGGTCAGCACATGCTGAAGCGCACAGTGCGCAGAAGTCACCAACTGTCTGCAGAGTCAATAGCTAAAGACCTCCAAACTTGGTGTGACCTTCAGATGAGCACAACAACAGTGCGTAGAGAGCTTCATGGAATGGATTTCCATGGCTGAGCAGCTGCATCCAAGCCTTACATCACCAAGTGCAATGCAAAGTGTCAGCTGCTGTGGTGTAAAGCATGCCGCTACTGGACTCTAGAGCAATGGAGACAATTTCTCTGGAGTGACAAATCACGCTTCTCTGTCTGGCAAGCCAATGGACATGTCTGGGTTTGGCGGTTGCCAGGAGAACGGTACTTGCGCGACTGCATTGTGCCAAGTGTAAAGTTTGGTGGAAGAGGGATTATGGTGTGGGGTTGTTTTTTAGGGGCTGGGCTTGGCCCCCTAGTTCCAGTGAAGGGAACTCTTAAGGCAACATTTTGGACAATTTCATGCCCCTTCATGCCCCCAACTTTGTGGGAAGCGTTTGGGGATGGCCCCTTCCTGTTCCAACATGACTGCTCACCAGTGCACAAAGCAAGGTCCATAAAGACATGGAGGAGCCAGTTTGGGGTGGAGGAACTTGACTGTCCTGCACAGAGTCCTGACCTCAACCCCATAGAACACCTTTGGGATGAATTAGAGCGGAGACTGCGAGCCAGGCCTCCTTCCCCGACATCAGTGCCTGACCTGACAAATGTGCTTCTGGAAAATCTTTGTATTTTAATAAAGGTGTTTTATTTACAATACTACACTATGAGGAGTATCTTTTTCATATGTATGGAGTGGAGTTGGAGGAGATAGTAAGCTGACGGTCGAAGAGCAGTTACATCTATATACCTACCGGTCAAAAGGGAAAAGCGCAGCTAGACCTGGGATACAAGTCAGACATTAAGGTGAGCACAATAGTGTGTCGGGGGTGTGGACACTGAAGAGGGACACTATTGCACTTCGGTTGGATTTGAATATCACATGACGCACGGCCGTATTAAAGGCACAATTCACTATAAAATCTGTTTAATAGCTTATGGTGAAATTCAAACACAATGTACAGCAAGTTCACCACGTGGATGTATGAGTGATTTATGATGAATTTGAAACTTACCGTATTTTTCGCTCCATAAGACGCACCTGACCATAAGATGTGCCTAGATTTTAGAGAGGAGAAACAACAAGAAAAAAAATATTCTGAACCAATGGACTGCAGACACAGTACAGGGGATGACCAGAGACTGCGGTACACAGAGTGCGGACACAAGGGATGACCAGAGACTGCGGACACAGTACAGGGGATGACCAGAGACTGCGGACACAGTACAGGGGATGACCAGAGACTGCGGACACAGTACAGGGGATGGATGACCATGACCAGACTGCGGACACAGTACAGGGGATGACCAGAGACTGCGGACACAGTACAGGAGATGACCAGAGACTGCGGACACAGTACAGGAGATGACCAGAGACTGCGGACACAGTACAGGAGATGACCAGAGACTGCGGACACAGTACAGGGGATGACCAGAGACTGCGGACACAGTACAGGGGATGACCAGAGACTGCGGACACAGTACAGGGAATGACCAGAGACTGCGGACATAGTACAGAAGACCAGAGACTGCAACACGTGCAGGGGATGACCAGAGACTGCAGACAGCAAAGGAGATTATCAGAGACTGCGGACCTTTGGGGAGGGAGGGGGAACGGGTACCTGAATTTGACAGGTACTCGCTCCCGCTTCCGCTGAGTTTTCCTTCCTCCTTCTTCCCGCGGCGGTTTCTGTGACAGCCGGGTGCCCACTGCGCATGCGCGAGAAGCTCCACGCTTTGTGAATGGCCCGGAGCCTTCTGGGACCTGCCATGTATCCCAGAAGACACCGGACCATTCACAAAGCGCGGCGCTTCTCGCGCATGCGCAGTGGGCACCCGGCTGTCAGAGAAAAAAAAAAAAAAAAAAATTAAAAATTAGTGAAGCGCTTGTATCACATGAATACAATCATGTATCTCCATATAGTGTAATTATAAATCAAAGTGACCACTATATATAATAAATGTGTGTTGACTCCCTCTAGTGGAAAGAAAAAATAGTGTCAACCAAAATAGCTAAATAACACACATTAGGAAACTAAATATATAGTGCATAAATCAAATATAATGAACAGAATATATATACGTGAAAACAGAATATTGGCCACATACAATGGTGTCTAAATCATACATAAATGATATATGCCATAGGTGAACAAGACAATATCAAAGGTGAAAAAAATATTCCATGCATGTGACTGTGCTTTAAGCTGGAACACACACGTGATCTCCACTTCTAAGTGCAAGTACTCTCCTTCAAATGGCAGCAATGCCTGCTCACCTCCCTTCCTCGACCCACACAGGGCCTCAAAGCAGTTACCACCTCAGTGGTGTATTCCTCTGGCAGACTCCTTATTCCTCCTCCTCTCTTATGCAACTCATAAAAAGACAAGAAAGCCTTCCATAGTGTAGTAAATTTAATAGGCAAAGTTAAAAATTACAAAGTTTTCCACTCACATGCTCCTTTCCATAAAAAAGCGTTTTTCCCAGTTTTTCCCAGCCTGTGGGTAGATATGCATTGTGTCCGGACATACGTCACCAGGAAGTAGACAAACCCTGATGAAGTCACGACGCACGTGACGCTACGCGTCGGTTTGTCTACTTCCTGGTGACGTATGTCCGGACACAGTGGCCATATTGGATTCCCCCAGGTGCATGCATATCTACCCACAGGCTGGGAAAAACGCTTTTTTTATGGAAAGGAGCATGTGAGTGGAAAACTTTGTAATTTTTAACTTTGCCTATTAAATTTACTACACTATGGAAGGCTTTCTTGTCTTTTTATGAGTTGCATAAGAGAGGAGGAGGAATAAGGAGTCTGCCAGAGGAATACACCACTGAGGTGGTAACTGCTTTGAGGCCCTGTGTGGGTCGAGGAAGGGAGGTGAGCAGGCATTGCTGCCATTTGAAGGAGAGTACTTGCACTTAGAAGTGGAGATCACGTGTGTGTTTCCAGCTTAAAGCACAGTCACATGCATGGAATATTTTTTTCACCTTTGATATTGTCTTGTTCACCTATGGCATATATCATTTATGTATGATTTAGACACCATTGTATGTGGCCAATATTCTGTTTTCACGTATATATATTCTGTTCATTATATTTGATTTATGCACTATATATTTAGTTTCCTAATGTGTGTTATTTAGCTATTTTGGTTGACACTATTTTTTTTCTTTCCACTAGAGGGAGTCAACACACATTTTATTATATATAGTGGTCACTTTGATTTATAATTACACTATATGGAGATACATGATTGTATTCATGTGATACAAGCGCTTCACTAATTTTTAATTTTATTTTGCACTTATTGGTATCAGCTAAGTGACAGCAGCTGTATTTTGTCAATTATTCCCATGAGCGCAGGAGGATCCCTTATTATTCGGCTGTCACAGAAGCCGCCTCGGGAAGACTGCAGCGCTGGAGCGAGGAACAGGTAAGGTCCTGTAGGAGAGAAGAGCTGAGCGGCCGGCCCGGTATTTTGACATGGTGGCGGCAGAAATACCGGACCGGCCGCTTTACATTCGCTCCATAAGACGCACTGACATTTTCCCCCCTTTTTTTGGGGGGAAAAAAGTGCGTCTTATGGAGCGAAAAATACGGTAATATGGTCTAATTTTTTTGATGGACATATGTTTAATTTTGGATCATTTCAACGCACGTTTGGGCACATGCATTTGTCACTTATGACACAAGGATTTGCATGTTTTTGTATGTATATTTGGTATTTATTGGAGTATTTCTGTTTATTACACACAATGATATATGTTATGGTGTACATCTACTTATAACACTGGTATATTAGAGCATTATTTGTGCGCTGCATAGACACTTTTTTCATAGTGTATGTTTCATTCTCCTCCTGCGTAGGGTTTCCCTTTTCTGAATCTTATGCTCCTCGTCATCCCATGCAATGTCCTGACTCCATTCACAGCTGTAGCAGAGATCCTTCCTCTAGGGTCATCATATGACAACCTTCAGTCCTGGTCGGAGGGATTCCAGCCTTTCCAGGTTTCTTTTAGCTTCATTTGACAGACGATTGTTGCTGATCCTAGAAGAGAGGATAGAAATGGTCATCAGATCAATCTCATTTCTTTAATTTGCTGAGGTGTAATAATGAGAGAAATGTATGATGATTATTATTGTTTTTTTATATTAATTTTATTCACAGGCTTAATTACTGCACTCCAGATCATAAAGAACCTCCTGCCAAAAGTCTGTAGAACTATTTATACATATACTACATTAGCCAATCAGGTTCTGGCTTTCCTAATGCTATAGCAGGTCAGACGGTGTATAGGAGCCCTGAACATGTAGAAAATTAGTGATGATATGAATCCCTGGGACTACAACTGTATTTCTCCATCTATATTCGTTTATATCAGAGGATTGTTCTTCATAATACACCAAAACCCACACAGACTGATGGGCAGAGACACAAAATGACATGATAATGAACACTGATTGGTGGACATCAATTGGGAGGATGAACACACATACATGGACAGACAGACAGGCACCTGGGGGTATTTTGGGTAAAATAAAATTGCACGGCTAAATCACCGATCCCGGTTTTCATCAGAGATATGAACATAAGGTAGGTTCAGTCTAGCTTCCAACAAAAAGAAAAACAAAAGAAACACAAAGACTAGAGCTATGAATGTTTTTATTGAAAAGTGCAATATATGAAATAAAAATCCACTCACATGCTCCACATAGATAACATGCCTGCAATAGCCTGAGAAACGATCCCCGCATGCCCCAGTCAGAGCTGTAACCGGCGAATCTCCTGCTGCTAAACTCTCCCAGACTGCTCGTGCATTCCATGTCACATGACAGAGCGGGGTCAGCGCATGCTGAAGCGCACAGTGAGCAGAAGTCGCCAACTGTCTACAGAGTCAATAGCTAAAGACCTCCAAACTTGGTGTGGCCTTCAGATGAGCCCAACAACAGTGCGTAGAGAGCTTCATGGAATGGGTTTCCATGGCCGAGCAGCTGCATCCAAGCCTTACACCAAGTGCAATGCAAACCGTCGAATGCCATGGTGTAAAGCACGCCGCCACTGGACTCTAGAGCAGAGGAGATGTGTTCTCTGGAGTGACCAATCACGCTTCTCTGTCTGCCAATCCGATGGACTTGTCTGGGTTTGGCGGTGGCCAGGAGAACGGTACTTGCCCGACTGCATTGTTCTAAGTGTAAAGTTTGGTGGAGAGGGGATTATGGTGTGGGGTTGTTTTTCAAGGGGTTGGGCTTGACCCCTTATTTCCAGTGAATGGAACTCTTAAGGCAACATTTTGGACAATTTCATGCTCCCAACTTTGTGGGAAGAATTTGGGATGGCCCCTTCCTGTTCCAACATGACTGTCCACCAATGCACAAAGCAAGGTCCATAAAGACATGGAGGAGCCATTTATTATCACAGAGTTATGTATAAAAAATCGAGCGCAGTGCATAAAATATGGTAGCTGCTAGCAACAACAAAAAAGGCACCTCGGGAACCTCCACACTAAATGTTAAAAGAATAGAAGTGCAGCGCTACATGAATGGTGACTCAATACATAACAATATGATAAACACAAATGACTTGGTGTCTGTGGATTAATAGAATGCCGGCGAGAGTTCATCAAAAGTGCTGTGGTGAAGTGTGCATACAGTCTCTGATATGCCAAAGACATAAGTAGTGACTTTTCGTGGTGAAAAAAGTAGTCAAATAATGCACTAACCAGATAGCGCATGGGGCACTTAAGACCTGCCCCTGATACTTGGCCGCTGTGTCACTGGAACAGAGAGGTGTCATCTGTAGGGCCACCACTAGATGTCATCTGTCCATGCAGAAGATGTATCCAGCCACTGAATTAATGGAGTAAGTAGGTGTCATCTATAGGGTGACCACTAGATGTCATCCGTCCATGGAGAAGATGTCTCATAGATCTAGAGATGTCACTTGCAGATGTTATCTTAACCACTTGCCGCCCAGCCACCACGTATAAACGGTGGCAGGGCGGCGCTCATAGGCAAAAGCACGTTTTAAAACGGCTGCCTTCAAAACAGGTAGGGGCGCGCGCGCCCGCCCTACCTGTCCCGCGGGTGGCAGCAGCGGGTCTCCGCCACTGGGTCACGGCCGGTTTTTTACCGCGATGAGCGGTGATTACTGACACAGAGCAGGGCTGCATTGTTTACACACAGCCCTGCTCTGTGACAGTTCGCCGACAAGCTGCAGAGGGAGAGAAGAGTTTCTCTCCCTCGATCAGCTACTCCCTCCCCCCCCCCCCCGTCCAGTACACACCCCCGCCCCCTAGTAAAGCACTCCCCTTACACAGCAAATTCTAAAAATGTTAACCCCTTCCTCCCCAGTGACATTAGTACAGTTTCAGTGTTTTTTTTTCACTGATCACTGTATTGGTGTCACTGGGGATGTCAGTGACCCCAAGTCAGTTCTCCCCCCAGTGTCAAAATGTCCGCCCCTGTCCCGCCATAAGTCGCTGGTCGCCGTCATATGTCGCTGATCGCCGCCATAATTCGCTGATCGGCGCCATAATTAGTATAAATAAAAATTTAAAATTCCAGTATCTTTCCCGCCATTTGAAAACGCTATAACTTTCACGTAAACCAATTAATTTACACGTATTGGGATTTTTTTTTAGCAAAGACATGTCGCAGAATGCTTTTTGGCAGAAATTTATGACTAAATTTGATTTTTGCATTTTTTTTTAATGGACATGTTTTATAGCAAAAAGTCCAAAATATTGTTTTTTTTTTCCTCAAAATTGTCAGCCTTTTTTTTTATAGCGCAAAAAATAAAAACCGCACAGGCGATCAAATACCACCAAAAGAAAGCTCAATTTGTGGGGAAAAAAAAGGATGTAAATTTCATTTATGACCGCGCAATTGTCCGTTAAACTAGCGCAGTGCTGTATAGCAGAAAAATGGCGTAAATTGCAGTATCTATACCATAGTTTGTAGACGCTATAACTTCCACACAAAGCAATCAATATACACTTATTGGGATTTTTTTTTACCAAAAACATGGAGCAGAATACATTTTGGCCTAAATTTATAACCAACTTTGAGTTTTACTATATATTTTTTATAGCTGAAAGTAAAAATATTGTTTTTCTTCAAAATTTTTGACATTTTTTTTGTTTATAGCGTGAAAAATAAAAAGGTGATCAAATTACACCGAAAGAAAAGCTCTATTTGTATGAAAAAAAGGACGTAAATTTCGTTTGGGTGCAGCATTGCATGACCGCGCAATTATCAGTTGAATTAGTGCAGCGCTGAGTAGCAAAAAGAGGCCCGGTCATTAAGGGGGGTAAATCCTCAGGAGGGCAAGTGGTTAATGTGCAGGGCCCTCTGATGATGTGTTTTCACACGATACGCGTTAGGGAAGTGCCAATCTCTCTTGTACATGTACCTCTGGTTTAGCCATTTATCAGCACCTATACCTTTACTGTAAGTGTATTTCTGATTGCTTATACTTTATTAAACGTTATCACACTATTTGAGGCCTTTTCTCCACGGGCTCTTTATTTCTGGGGAGCCTGTAACTTTGAAGGTCCTGTAGCAGAGGGCCCTGCACATTAAGATAACATCTGCAAGTGACATCTCTTGGATCTATGAGACATCTTCTCCATGGACGGATGACATCTAGTGGTCACCCTATAGATGACACCTACTTACTCCATTAATTCAGTGGCTGGATACATCTTCTGCATGGACAGATGACATCTAGTGGTGGCCCTACAGATGACACCTCTCTGTTCCAGTAACACAGCGGCTGAGTACCAGGGGCAGGTCTTAAGTGCCCTATGCGCTATCTATGCGCTATCTGGTTAGTGCATAATTTGACTACTTTTTTCACCACGAAAAGTCACTACTTATGTCTTTGGCATATCAGAGACTGTATGCACACTTCACCACAGCACTTTTGATGAACTCTCGCCGGCATTCTATTAATCCACAGACACCAAGTCATTTGTGTTTATCATATTTTTATGTATTGAGTCACCATTCATGTAGAGCTGCACTTCTATTCTTTTAACGTTATCACAGAGTTGTTTGGCTCCTTTTTAAATCCTAATGATAACAGAAATCACCCAAATAGACCTGAGCAAAAGTTTCCTCCCCTGGAATGTTCGGCCTTGGTACAGACACACAAGGGGACACACAGGTTACAATGGCAAATAAACGTTCATTTCCTGCAACTGTGGCTATTTCAATTTCAATCAGTGTCTGTGTATAAATAGTATAATGATTTACGGAAAAGCATATATATATATATATATATATATATATATATATATATGCAAAGTCTTGAATATGCCAGTAAGTACTGTTCAATCACTTATTAAGGAGTGGAAGATTCATGGAATACCAGGCCAAGGTCAGGTAGACCAAGTAACAGCAGCCACAACTTCCAGAATAATTATTTTGGGGAAACAAAGAGAACCCCCATGTAACCTCAGGAGAAATACAGGATGCTGTGTAAAAAGATGGCGTGGGTTTTTTTTTTTTTAAGAAGCACAATGGGAAAATACTTGTACAAAAAAGAGCTGCATGGTCAAGTTTCCAGAAAGAAGCCTTTACTGCTCCAATGCCGCTAAAAAGCCCGGTGAATTGTGTCAAGGTGTTGTCAGGCGTATTGTAACCGGGCTTTTTTTGTGGCATTGGTGCAGTAAAGACTTCTTTCTGGCAACTCGAGCATGCAGCTCAGTTTTGTTCACGTATTGTCTATGGTCACTGTTTTTTTAATGCACTCATTTTTTCTGTATCTTCCCCTGTATCTGTATGATGTCATTTTTTTCTCTTTCATTGTAATTTCCTGCTATCCTTTCTGCAAGACAGGCACTGAAATGAGGCAGAAATTTTACTCTATATCACTATATATATACCAAATTCTTCCACATTGTATAGTTTGCCGGAACGTCCTCCATACAAGAAAAATATTCATGATTGCCAAGTGTCTGGTGAGTTCAATTATCTGATGGAAAAATGTCTGCAGTGATTGTCTCTGCTCTGTTCAGGCCAGGCATAGAGGTCTCAGGAAGATTTCAATGGAAACTCTCCCAGAATATGATTGTCTCAGTCAGTCCTGTTATACTCACTGTAATTCCTCTATCCGGCTTGTTGTCAGAGCCGCCATCAGATCCCTGAAATGAGGACCCTCCAGATTGTTCCCAGACAGGTTCAGTGTCCTCAGTGTCGGGTTATTTCTTATTCCAGATGCCAGGTCGGGGCAGGAACTGTCTGTCAGGTGAGTATAGGACAATCTGTAGAAGAGAAGAATGTTACCAGAAGGAAATGAATCCCCCCCCCCCCCCCCCAGGAATGAATGGAACTATTCTCTACATGGATGGAACTCATTTCTCTTTATTGGAATCATTTATATTCGATCACTTTATAAATCTTCAGGAAATAGAATTTTATAAGACAAATGTTATAATGGAGTAGACCCCCCAATATTGTCCTCCATGTGTAGAGACGGTGATATCTCCATACACAGGATGAGCACAGAATACCACTGACATGACTCGTATTGTGCTATCATCTCCTTGTGTATGGAGCATGAATGGGATCAGCAGACAGTGTGAGGCCGGAATCAGCATTGCTAGTGATTGGACGGGAGGATTGTATCTGATATTCTATTTATCTCTGCTGATCAGAGCTCTGTACTCATAGGACGTCATGGCGCTAGGTAACAAATGTTCAGTAATGGGGAGATCTTCCGGAACTGAATAGCACGCCAGATGAAAAGAATTTGTTTGATGCTCTGATCACTCATTGCATTAAGATCAGATTCTCCCATGTATGAGCATCTTTAATGTCATCTATTTATACAGATACCAAAAATAAATGTAGAGTGTTACTAAACCCCGGACCCTGCATTCACTATATCCGCTCTCCCCGGACCCTGCATTCACTATATCCTGTCTCCCCGGACCCTGCATTCACATTCACTATCTCCGGATCCTGCATTCACTATATCTCTCCCCAGACCCGGATCTCCCGCATTCACTATATCCTGTCTCCCCTGGACCCTGCATTCACTATATCCGCTCTCCCCGGACCCTACATTCACCATATCCACCCTCCCCAGACCCTGCATTTACTATATCCGCTGTCCCCGGCCCCTGCATTCACTATATATCCACTCTCTCTGGACCCTGCATTCACTATATCCGCTCTCCCTGGACCCTGCATTCACTATATCCGCTCTCCCTGGACCCTACATTCACTATATCCGCTCTCCCTGGACCCTGCATTCACTATATTCCGCTCTCCCCGGACCTTGCATTCACCATATCTGGTCTTCCTGGACCCTGCATTTCACTATATTTCCCCAGTCTCCCGCTCTCCCCTGCGTATTCACTATATACGCTTTCCAAGAACCCGCATTCACTATATCCACTATCCCCGGACCCTGCATTCACTATATCTGGCTCTCCCTGGACCCTGCATCACTATATCTGGTCTCCCCGGACCTGCATTCACCATATCGCTCTCCCGGACCCCAGCATTTACTATCATCTGGTCTCCCCAGACCTGCATTCACTATATCCACTCTCCCGGACCCTGCATTCACTATATCCGCTCTCCTCTGAACCTTCATTCACTATATCCGCTCTCCCAGACCCCACATTCACTATATCCGCTCTCCACTGACCCCGTATTCACTATATACGCTCTCTCTGACCCTGCAGGTCCATGCTACATTCACTATATCCACTCTCCCTGGACCCTGCATTCACCATATCTGGTCTCCACGGACCCTACAGTCACCATATCTGGTCTCCCCTGGACCCTGCATTCACCATATCTGGTCTCCCCGGACCCTGCATTCACTATATCCTGTCTCCTTGGACCCCGCATTCACTATATCCGGTCTCTCCGGACCCTGCATTCACTATATCTGGTCCCCCCGGACTCCGCATTCACTATATCCGGTCTCTCCCCAGACTATACATTTCATACATCCACACTCCTGTACTCCTGCACTCACTATATCCGCTCTCCCCTGACCCTACATTCACTATATCCGCTCTACCCGAACCCCGCATTCACTATACCCGCTCTCCCCAGACCCTGCATTCTTTATGCGCTCTCCACGGACCCTACATTCACTATATCCGCTCTCCCTGGACCCTGCATTCACTATATATGCTCTCCCTGGAACCCTACATTCACTATATATCCGCTCTCTATTTGGACCCTGCATTCACTATATCCGCTCTCCCCGGACCCTGCATTCACTATATCTGGTCTCCCCGGATTCCGCTTTCACTATATCCGGTCTCCCCGGACCCCGCATTCACTATATCTGGTTTCCCCACGGACCCTGCATTGACCATATCTGGTCTCCACGTACCCTGCATTCAACATATCTCCGGTCTCCCCGGACTCCGCATTCACTATATTTGTTCTCCCCGAACCTTGCATTCACTATATTTTCTTTCCCCAGACCCTGTATTCACCATATCTGGTTTTCCTGGACCCTGCATTCACTATATCTGATCTCCCCAGACCCGCATTCACCATATCCGATCTCCTCGGACCCTGCATATCACTATACCCGCGTTCACTCCCCGCTCCTGGACCTTGCATTCACCTATATCCGCTCTCCATGGACCCTGCATTCACTATATCCACTCTCCCTGGACCCTACATTCAGTATATCCGCTCTCCCCGGACCCCACCCTCACTATATCCGGTCACCCTGGACCCTGCATTCACTATATCCGCTCTCCCCGGACCCGGCATTCACTATATCCGCTCTCCCTGGACCCTGCATTCACTAAATTCGCTCTCCCCGGACAACGCACTTGTCACGAACGTGCGCACCAGAGGCAAGACGTAGCCTCCATTTTTTTTAAGAATCTCCATTTTCTCCCCTCACTCCCTCCCCCTCCCTCTCTGAGAGGCACAGAGATATTTTGCCAGTGTGTGTGTGCTGGTTGTGTGTCACTGGCAGGCTATGGCACAGCAGGGAACCCCAGAGCTATAAAACATTTTGGAGCTAGGTGCCTGGCTGGGCGAGCTGTACCATATAACACCTCGTATAAGATAAGATAAGGCAAGCTTTCCCAGGAGTTCAAGGCATTCCAGCAAAGCACGAACCAGATAACCACTTTTCAAAATCCATTTTTCCCCTATGTCTCATATCATGGAATATGAGAGCCGTACATAAAAACCAGACATATCGTTAGATTGGCTAAGAGGAGACAAACAATTTTGTCACTTGTCTCGAATACATAGGAAAGCAGAAAAGTAGATCTCAGAAACCATTCAGCGTAATTAATTTCATAATTCATATCTAATCAATCCTCAGACGTGTCTGCATAATAATCTACTCGCGGGTAGAATGTCACTTATGCATATGGAAAGTTATGAGCCAAAATATGAGTATGAGAGATTTTGGCTCTAGTTGAGGTGTCCGCCCAGACCACCCCTCCCTAATTGAGGCATTGGTCCTTGGCTTTAGAGACACCCCCTGCTGGGGGACTACAAAATGGGCTCTCAGGCCTAAGAGAGCTAAGTTGAAGAATTCTCCCATTTAACATCAATACCACCTGGGGAGACCCATACCCTTTCGCTCTGAAACTTGATCTGCTAACCCAGGACTTTGGCAAGTACTTTAACCCTTTAACTTCTCTCTGTTATCTCTTTGCTGTGCTGTTGTTCTCTGTATATTTATATATATATTAGTTACATCTTTTTTCTGTAAAAATTTTTATTGCACCCCTTTTTGACTTTTCAGTAATAAATCTGTCCTTCTGAAAGTGTTGAACTGTTTCTACAGCTCTTAATTGCAATTTACGAATTCCTGCCTCTAAAGGGAATGCTACAGTGTTTGTTTAACCCTCTGTATAACCGGCCTGCGGTGACCGTGTTATACAGACGATTACCTCAACCATTATAGTGTTATTGCGGATATCGCCGAGTTTCCTCTTTCTCTGTACAAAAAGGATATGGTGGCAGTGTGAAGGGTTAATTGCGTAATTAACCTGACCCAGTAACAATCGCTCAGGCTGCCAGTACATCGATTGTGGTCCATTTAGCTGGAAAATCGTTGTGCAGGGTGCAGCTGGGTGTGGCATTGTTACGCATGTGACATCGCAGTTTTAGATTGGCTAGTCCTTCGGTCACGAGTTTAGTGAGAAGGGCTGGGGTCTGCCGCCGCAGTCGTCACATATTGGTGACAGCGATCGTGGGATCGCGCATATTGGTGGCAGCGATCCTGCGTCCATCACAGCACTCACTATATCTGGTCTCCCCGGATCCCGCATTCACTATATCCGGTCTCCCCGGACCCGCATATTCACTATGTCTGCTCTCCCGGACCCGGAATTCAATATATCTGGTCTCCCACAGTACACACAACATCTTCTATCAGTGTCCAGCAGATCACTGGTTAAAGCTTGTAGGAGGAGTTTTCTTTCTGCTCTTAGAGGATGCAGAACCCCTGATCTCTGTCTGGACAGCGCTGATTGGCCCTGTGTTGATCACATGTACCCTCCCAAGGAAAAAAAAAAAACATCTCTAGCAATACACACTAAACTGAGCACGTGCAAAATTCCTATGGTTCAGTCTGTCTTATCAGAAGATAAGAGGTGGTTGCTTCAAAAAGGGGAGGAACAGAGCAGAAAGGATCAATCAGTATTTTTGCACAATGCAGAGGATTAACCCCTTAGGTTCCACAGTGAGTATCACAAGCACGTTTTACTGCATCTACAGACTGATTGTACTGTTGTGGGTTTAGTAACACTTTAATGGTTACATTTTATAGTCTATAGGGTCACCATGTTACCATCTGATATTATGCTGTTTGTACAACTTTATATCATATGAGGACCTACCCAATGTATCCAGTCAGTTTGTATCCAATTAGGCAGTGGAGGTAAAGAAGATTGTAAGATCAGACTGTACTGTGTGTGGGGAGCTTTAAGTAAGCTACAGACTATACAATATTCTTTCCTTCCACTACGGGTGGAAAGACAGACAATTGCTCAATCCCCCCATCAACACAGTCCTAATGGATGGGGGAATCACTCCTGCCACACAACTGTGTTCTGCCAACAGGAAGCCTTCCCTGCCAGCAGAACACTGATCACTGTTAGCTGCTATAGACCTCCGGCAGTGATCGAATGCAAGAAGTCCCAGAGGATGGTTGTACTGAATGTGATTGACGGATCAACTTCAGTACAACCAGCCTGCCCATAGATGGGTCAGATCTCGGCTGGTCCTTACTAAACCTGTCCATATTTGATCCACTTATGGCCAGATGTAGAAAAAGTCTAATTTATTGCTGATAACAGAGTTAGAGAAGATCCGAAGATTTAGACAATTGAATGTTAATCTGTCCCAGAATATGATTGTCTCAGTCAGTCCTGTTATACTCACTGTAATCCCTCTATCCGGCTTGTTGTCAGAGCCGCCATCAGATCCCTGAAATGAGGACCCTCCAGATTGTTCCTAGAGAGGTTCAGTGTCCTCAGTGTCAGGTTATTTCTTATTCCAGATGCCAGGTGGGGGGGCAGGAACTGTGTGTCAGGTGAGTATAATACAATCTGTAGAAGAGAAGAATGTTACCAGAAGGAAATGAATCCCCCCCCCCCCAGGAATGAATGGAACTATTCTCTACATGGATGGAACTCATTTCTCTTTATTGGAATCATTTATATTCGATCACTTTATAAATCTCAGGAAATAGAATTTTCTAAGACAAATGTTTATAATGGAGTAGACCCCCCAATATTGTCCTCCATGTGTAGAGACGGTGATATCTCCATACACAGGATGAGCATAGAATACCACTGACATGACTCGTATTGTGCTATCATCTCCTTGTGTATGGAGCATGAATGGGATCAGCAGACAGTGTGAGGCCGGAATCAGCATTGCTAGTGATTGGACGGGAGGATTGTATCTGATATTTATTTATCTCTGCTGATCAGAGCTCTGTACTCCTAGGACGTCATGGCGCTAGGTAACAAATGTTCAGTAATGGGGAGATCTTCTGGAACTGAATAGCACGTCAGATGAAAAGAATTTGTTTGATGCTCTGATCACTCATTGCATTAAGATCAGATTCTCCCATCTATGAGCATCTTTAGTGTCATCTATTTATACAGATACCAAAAATAAATGTAGAGTGTTACTAGATTGTAAGCTCGAATCTTGTCTCATGTTATGTCCCCCTTGCTACTGTACAGCGCTGAGCATACCCTTTGGCGCTATATAAATACTGTATAATAATAATAATAATAATACTAAACCCCGGACCCTACATTCACTGTATCCTCGCTCTCCCCGGACCCCGCATTCACTGTATCCTCGCTCTCCCGGACCCCGCATTCACTATATCCGCTCTCCCCGGACCTGCATTCACTATATCCGCTCTCCCCGGACCCCGCATTCACTATATTCCGCTCTCCCCGGACCCCGCATTCACTATATCCGCTCTCCCCCCCGGCCCCGCATTCACTATATCCGCTCTCCCCTGACCCCGCATTCACTATATCCGCTCTCCCCGGACCCTGCATTCACTATGTTCACTCTCCCCGTACCCTGCATTCACTATGTCCGCTTTCCCGGACCCCGCATTCACTATATCCTCTCTCCCAGTACCCTGCATTCAATATATCCGCTGTCCCAGTACCCTGCATTCAATATATCCACTATCCCTGGACTCTGCGTTCACTATATCTGGTCTCCCCGGACCCACACATTCACTATATCCGCTCTCCCCAGACCCCGCATTCACTATATCCGCTCTCCCGGACCCTGCATTCACTATGTTCACTCTCCCCGTACCCTGCATTCCACTATGTCCGCTTTCCCCGGACCCCCGCATTCACTATATCCGCTCTCCCAGGACCCTGCATTGCATTCAATATATTCGCTCTCCCAGTACCCTGCATTCAATATATCCACTCTCCCTGGACTCTGTGTTCACTATATCTGGTCTCCCCGGACCCCACATTCACTATATCCGCTCTCCCCGACCCCGCATTCACTATATCCGCTCTCCTTGGACCCTGTATTCACTATATCCACTCTCCCCAGACCCTGCGTTTCGCTATATCTGGCCTCCCCAGACCCTGCATTTACTATATCTGGTCTCCCATAGTAAACACAACATGGAAATGCAATTATTTTAGTAAATATAAACTGCTAAATAACTTTTCTCATCAGCAGTATATAGCAGTCTTTTGATTTCTATCAGTGTCCAGCAGAGCACTGGTTAAAGCTTGTAGGAGGGTTTTCTTTCTGCTCTAGGAGGATGCAGAGCACTTGCTCTCTGTCTGTACAGATCTGATTGGCTCTGTGCTGATCACATGTACCCTCCCAAAAAAAAACCCTCTAGCAATACACACTAAGCTGAGCATGTGCAAAATGCGTACTGTTTCAGTCTGTCTTACATAAGATAAGAGTTGTTCCTTTGAAAAAGCGGCAGAACTGAGCAGAAAGGATCAATCAGCCTTTTTATACAATGCAGAGGATTAACCCCTTTGGTTCCACAGTGAGTATCACAAGCACGCTTTACTGCATCTACAGACTGATTGTACTGTTGTGGGTTTAGTAACACTTTAATGGTTACATTTTTTAGTCTATAGGGTCACCATTTTTACCATCTGATATTATGCTGTTTGTACAACTTTATATCATATGAGGACCTACCCAATGTATCCAGTCAGTTTGTATCCAATTAGGCAATGGAGGTAAAGAAGATTGTAAGATCAGACTGTACTGTGTGTGGGGGAGCTTTAAGTACAGCTACAGACTATACAATATTCGCTTTCCTTCCACTACGGGTGGAAAGAAAGACAATTGCTCAATCCCCCCATCAACACAGTCAGAATGGATGGGGGAATCACTCCGCGACCTGCCGTAAAACAACTGTGTTCTGCCAACAGAAGCCTTCCCTGCCAGCAGAACACTGATCACTGTTAGCTGCTATAGACCTCCGGCAGTGATCGAATGCAAAAAGTCCCAGAGGATGGTTGTACGAATGTGATTGACGGATCAACTTCAGTACAACCAGCCTGCCCATAGATGGGTCAGATCTCGGCTGGTCCTTACTTAAACCTGTCCATATTTGATCCACTTATGGCCAGCTGTAGAAAAAGTCTAATTTATTGCTGATAACAGACTTAGAGAAGATCCGAAGATTTAGACAATTGAATGTTAATCTGTCCCAGAATATGATTCTGTCAGTCCTGTTATACTATGATACAGAAAATGCTACTAAATAGTTGAAAACTCCTCAATAACACACTACAAGTGAAGTCCAATCCCCTAATAAGTCCACAAAATTTAAAAACCATAGCCTTCCTGTGTAATCACAGTGAAAAATTGTGTCCAAAGGAAATATAAATCCTTCCAACGATTTCCACGATAAATGTCCCCACATAGTGCATTATCTTTTATAATCTACAGTTGCAAGAAAAAGTATGTGAACCCCTTGGGATTACGTGGAGTTTTGCATGAATTGGGCATGAAATGTGCTCTGAACGTCATCTAAGTCACAACAATAGAAGAACACAGTCTGCTGAACATAATACTACACAAACATTAGATGTTGCCATGGTTTAATTTCACATTATTATTATTATTATTATTATACAGTATTTATAAAGCGCCAATAGTTCGCTCAGCGCTGTACATTACAGAGGGGGACAGAACATGTGACAGAACAATACCAATACAATGCAAAACATGAGGCCCTGCTCTTTCGAGCTTACAATCTAGGAGGGAGGGATGGTGGCACAGGAGGAGATAGCTGTGGGGAATGGAGTGGTAGGAAGAGTGGAGGAGGTCGGCAAGTTAGCAGGGGGTGGGGTAGGCTTCCCTGAAGAGATGGGTTTTCAGGGTGCGCCTAAAGGAGAGGAGAGTAGGTGATAATCTGATGGGTTGGGGCAGGGAGTTCCAGAGGATGGGTGACACCCTGGAGAAGTCCCGGAGGCATGGGAGGAGGAGACCAGGGAACTAGAGAGAAGGAGGTCTTGTGAGGAGCGGAGTGTACGTACTGGGCGGTATTTGGATATTAGGTCGGTGATGTAGTTCGGGGCAGTGTGGTGGACAGTTTTGTACGTCAGTGTTAGGATTTTGAATTTGATCCGTTGCACAATCGGAAGCCAGTGGAGGGATTGGCAGAGGGGGGTGGCGGAGACAGCGCGGTTGGAAAGGTGAATGAGTCTGGCTGCCGTATTCAGGATCGACTGAAGCGGGGATAGCCAGCAGTGAGGCAGGCCAGTGAGGAGGGAGTTGCAGTAGTCAAGTTGGGATATGATGAGGGAGTGGATGAGCTGTTTAGTGGTTTCTGGAGTTAGGAACGTGCAGATTTTGGCAATGTCGCGGAGGTGGAGTCTGCACGAGTTTGTTAAAGATTAGACTTGGGGCTGGAAGGATAGGTTGGAGTCCAGAATGACACCAAGTACTCTGGCCTGCGGGGCGGGTTTGATTGTAGCGTTGTTGGATGTGATAGAGAAGTCAATGGGGGGTGGTGTCCGGGCTGGGGGGAAGACAAGAAACTCGGTTTTGGAGAGGTTCAGTTTAAGGAAGTGGAGCGACATCCAGTCTGATATGTCGCTCAGCAGGTGTGTGATTTGGGCGGAGACCGAGGGGGTGAGGTGGGGGGTTGAGAGATAGATTTGTGTGTCATCGTCATAGAGGTGGTAGTTGAAGCCGTGAGAGTGTATGTGTTGGCCAAGGGAGGAGGAGTAGATGGAGAAGAGAAGGGGCCCGAGGGACAGAGCCTTGAGGGACCCCAACAGAGAGGGGGAGTGAGAGGGAGGTGGTAGCATTATAGGTAACGCTGAAAGAGCGTTGTGACAGGTAGGATGAGAGCCAGGAGAGAGCAGAATCTCTGAGGCCGAGGGAGTGTAGTTTTTTGAGGAGGAGGGGGTGGTCGACAGTGTCGAAGGCCGCAGAAAGGTCAAGGAGTAGGAGCACTGAATAGTGGCCATTAGCTTTGGCGGTTAGCAGGTCGTTGGAGAGTTTGAGTAAGGCAGTTTCGGTGGAGTGTAGGGGACGGAAGCCGGACTGTAGGGGATCAAGGAGGTTGTTGTCGTTGAGGTGAGAGCATAGGCGGGTGTAGACTAGGCGCTCGAGGAGTTTAGATGTAAATGGGAGCAGGAAGATGGGTCTGAGGTTGTTCGGGTCATTGGGGTCCAGGGAGGGCTTTTTAAGTATGGGGCTGATGTGTGCATGTTTCAGAGGGGAGGGGAAAGTGCCGGAGAGAGAGGGAGAGATTGAAGATGTGGGTGAGGGAGCGTATGGAGGGGGAGGAGGGAGGGAGGTCGTAGGAGTTGTGAGGGGATAGGGTCGAGGGGGCAGGTGGTGAGGCGGGCATCAGAGAGGATCTTGGAGACTTCCTCGATGGTAGTAAGGTCAAAGGTGCGGAGTGTTGGGGGACCTTCACTATGAGGAATGTAGGGTGGGGTGGAAGAGGAGGTCAGAGCAGTGGTGGGGCCGTGGGAGAGGGGTGATGAGGGGGTAGCTGAGTGAGGGGGAAGGGGGTTGGAAGGGAGTTTGAGCAGCGATGAAGTCCCTGCGGGTTATGTCGAGGGGGAGGGGGGATGAGGGGGTAGCTGTGTGAGAGGGGACGGGATGAGAGGGCGTGTGAGTTGCGGCGATGTCCTTGCGAATTGTGTCAATCTTGTTTTTAAAGTGATTGGCAATCTCAAGGGCAGTGAGTGAGGTGGGAGGGGGTGGAGGTGGGGGTGGCGAGGGGAGTAGAGAGTTGAAGGTGGAATGAGGGTCAGGAAGTAGGCTTGTTTGGCAGCATGGAGGGAGGAGGTGTAGGTGTGGAAGGCAGATTTGTAGCGGGTGAAGGCTTGTTGGGATTTGGTTTTGCGCCATAGTCGCTCCAGGCACGACTGTGTCGTTTGAGGGATTTGGTGTGATCAGTCTGCCAGGGCTGGAGCGGTCGGGGGTCTGATGTTGCGTGTGGTTAAAGGCGCTAGTGAGTCAAGGGCTGTTGAGAGCGCGTTGTTATAGGCGGTCATAGCCAAGTCGGGGCAGGACAGGGGGAGGATGCGGTCGTGGAGTTGATCAGCTGCAGAGTGGAGGTGTCAGGAAAGGACTTGCCAATAGTGGTGGGTCTCTTCTGCCTTGTGGGTTGCAGTACCAGGGCTGGCCAGCGGGTGCTCTCAGCAGCCAGAGGCTCATTCCTGCAATCAGCCAAAACACCTGAGGCTGATTGCAGGAGGTGCATATAAGGAATGACCAGGCCTGTGATCTGGGCCTTGGTGTATGTTTCCCATGAGCCCTGTTGTACCTGGTATCCTGTGTTCCTGCACTCCCCTGCCAGTACTCTCTACCACAGCCGGACGCACTCAGGGGTCGCGATCTGGTTCCAGTCTGCACCAAGTCCATCCCCACCATCAGGGGCCCTGATGAATAGCAGGCTGGTACTTAGACCCCACGCCTGGGGAAATCCGTGCTGTGGGCTGCTAGAGACACTGCCAGGTGGCACCTGACAGTACCTTACGGCCTGCCTGACCATTCCACCTCTCCAGCCTGACTACGCCTGTGTTCTTGAAGCCT